GTTCTTAGGAAGTGTAGTAAGTCTGGATGGAAGGTCTACCATTGTCACTATTAGGAACCTGGTCATGACCATCAGCCAAAGCTGGGACAAGTGCATGTAGACAGGAAGTGGTTGCAAAGTGTCTGAGGCTGATATCAGCAACACTGAGGTACAAAACGGGATGAACAAAAGCTGAAACACATGCTTTATGAAAAAGAACCAATGTTTATGAGACACAGTACTTTATTGTCTCTGCCTAACCAAAACACATTTTTAAGTCTTGAATAGAATGGAAAAAGTATTAGAATCCCTGTCATTTTTTTCTGCTATCCCACGCTCCATTTCCCCTCTCTTACTGTCATTATGACATGAACTTCACCAGACAGGAACATCTGCTACGGGAGCACGGACAGCAATAAAAAACTTAAAGGGGTTCTACCCTTCCCCTTCTCTACTTGTCTGTCTCTGTTGCTCTTGAAGATTCTCCCTCACTTCCTTTCTAGTGAAATTGTTGTCACTGTGACTGTAAAGCTAAGTTCACACTTCAGCTTCAGCTTCCTCAAGCAGTTTTTGAGCATTTGGACATTTTCAGATCTTGAGCACTTTTGTTTTAGCCAATGGAAAACAACTTACTAGGTGGAAAGGCAATAAACTGCATAAAACACGCACGTTACACATGAAGACCAAAAAGACCAAAAACACATGACACTGGACTTTCTCTAAAGCCTCATGCACATGGGCTCATGAAAATAAGCAGCATTTTTTCTGCCAGGATTTGGCAGAAAAAATGCCTCTAATGTTACAATATAATGCACATTTATATATGTATGTATATGCATTTATGTGCATATGGCTTTTGAGTGTAAGTACATTCTACTGGCCAGTAGAAAGATGACCGCCGCTCTGAAGTCCAGATACGGCGGCGTGACATCAGCACCTAAAGCCCTTCCCAATGCATTTCATGCACACGCACATCTTCAGGGGATACGCCATCGTGTCTGGACCTTGGAGCAGCAGCCATCTTTGTAAGCCCGGCTGGACTTTTTCTTATGATGCTGGTTTTATGTTATTTATTGGTCATTTAATTTTAATAAATACATCCCCACTGTCAGTAGAGATATCTGTGTTGTTTACCAATACAGATCTCTCTCCTGTGATCTGCTCCGCCAATCAATGGGTTCTGGCCATGAATCATTGGCTGGAACCCACTGATTGGCATGTGCTGGAACCAGTGACAGCACAGCCAGGTCAGGGGGCGCACGCACGCCCCCTACCCAGAAATAAACAATCACGTGTGTGTATACACACTGCTCAAAAAAATGAAAGGAACACTTTTTAATCAGAGTATAGCATCAAGTCAATTAAACTCCTGGGATATTGATCTGGTCAGGTAAGTAGCAGAGGGGGTTGTTAATCAGTTTCAGCTGCTTTCTTGTTAATGAAATTAACAACAGGTGTACTAGATTGGCAAAAATGAAATGACCCCCAAAACAGGAATGGTTTTACAGGTAGAGGCCACTGACATTTTTTTCCTTCCTCATCTTTTCTGACTGTTTTTTACTAGTTTTGCATTTGGCTAGGGTCAGTGTCACTACTGGTAGCATGAGATGATACCTGGACCCTACAGAGGTTGCATAGGCAATCCAACTCCTCCAGGATGGCACATCAATACGTGTCATTGCTTGTGTCTCCCAGCATAGTCTCAAGAGCATGGAGGAGATTCCAGGAGACAGGCAGTTACTCTAGGAATGCAGCAGATCAGCAGGACTGGTATCTGCTCCTTTGTGCAAGGAGGAACAGGATGAGCACTGCCAGAGACCTACAAAATGACCTCCAGCAGGCCACTAGTGTGAATGTCTCTGACCAAACAATCAGAAACAGATTTCATGAGGTGGTCTGAGGGTCTGACATCCTCTAGTGGGCCCTGTGCTCACTACCCAGCACCATAGAACTCGATTGGCATTTGCCATTGAACACCAGAACTGGCAGGTCTGCCACTGGCGCCCTGTGCTTTTCACATATGAGAGCAGGTTCACCCTGAGCACGTGACAGATGTGAAAGGATCTGGAGAAGCCATGGAGAACGTTATGTTGCCTGTAACATCATTCAGCATGACCGTTTTGGTGGTGGGTCAGTGATGGTCTGGGGCGGCATATCCATGGAGGGACACACAGACCTCTACAGGCTAGACAATGGCACCCTGACTGCCATTAGGTATCAGGATGAAATCCTTGGACATATTGTTAGACCCTATGCTGGTGCAGTGGGTCCTGGGTTCCTCCTGGTGCATGACAATGCCCGGCCTCATGTGGCGAGAGTATGCAGGCAGTTTCTGGACGCTGCCAGGTTGCACCTCAGACAGTCCAGGAGCTCAGTGATGCCCTAGTCCAGATCTGGGAGTAAATACCTCAGGACACCATCCATCATCTCATTAGCAGCATGCCCTGACATTGTCAGGCATGCATACAAGCACGTGGAGGCTATATGAACTACTGAGTACCATTTTGAGTTGCTGCAATGGAATTTCAGCAAAATGGACTAGCTTGCTGCATCATGTTTTCACTTCGATTTTCGGGGTGTCTTTGAATTTAGTCCTCTGTAGGTTGATAATTTTCATTTCCTTCAAACGATGGGGCATCCTCATATTTCTAACACATTACCCAGTCCATATCAGTATAGATATCCAGCATGATATTTTTCCCCATTGAGATCTGATGTGTTTTCAAAGTGTTCCTTTAATTTTTTTTTTTTTGAGCAGTATATATTTATATATATATATATATATATATATATATAAACTGTGTGATTCTGTGATTCTGCCCAGCTGGTCTGCGCTGTAGCAGTAGAACTCGGCAAGTGGATAGCCACCCTTCAACAGGAATTTGGTGATTTGGAGGAGGCTGAGAGCAACAGAAGATACTTTGATTTAAGACAGACTTAAACTAGAGTTTGGTGTCACTTTAATATTCCTTTAAAGGAGCTCAAGGGTTTATCCTTCACTTTAATTTTATAACATCAGTGTTGTAATAATAGCAATACAAACTTCATGTGAAAAAATCTCATTTTGTGCTGTGAGTTCTGCATCTTTGCTGCCATCTCCTTTCAAAATGTCCTGGATTCCCTGCATGCTTTGCAGTTTCAACTCAATGTCTAGTCTAAGGACTACATATCCCATGGTACCTTGCTGCCTACAAGCAGTGATTTCTGAACTGACTCTGTCTCCTGAAACATTTCCTCTCAGCGCATCTGCAGAAGGCAGGCTCTGTGAATTCAGTGACACAGCAGTGCTACTCACAGGACATAGTGAATATGTCTCACAGCATTCTAGGAAGTAAATGTGCGGGGGGGTTTCACAAAGTAAGTTTACAGATTTCAAGATCATTCAGACTAATAGGCGTAGGCTAGAATGAACTGAAATACAATGTGGAAATTAAAACGGTTGTAAAAATTAAAAACATTTTTCTAAAATAATACCTATTATACTTTCCTGCTCTGAGCAATGGAATTGCACATTGTGGCTTCAGACCTCCTCTTCTTGGCTCCACCGCAGACACTCTCTGCTCCTCCTCTTCTGTGTCTGCTACCATAGCAAACTGCTTGCTATGGGGGTCTGACATTCAGGCACAGTCCTAAGACAAGCTCTGTGCATCCATAGACACTAACACTACCTTAATGCAGAAAATGCATCAAAGCAGGGGTCTCCAAACTTTTGAAAGAAAGGGACAGTTTACTGCCCTTCAAGCTTTAGGGGGGCAGGACAGTAACCAGTGGAAAATGACCTAGCATCATTGGGATTAAGCAATGCCATTGGTTTCAGTGGGAGAAATAGTGCCACATTGTTGATGTTAGTGGGAGGATTAGTGCCCCATTGCAGGTGTCAGTGAGAGGAATAGTGCCCCATTGTTGGTGTCAGTGGGAGGAATAGTGCCACATTGTTGGTGCCAGTGGGAGGAATAATGTCCCATTGTTGGTGTCAGTGGGAAGAATAGTGCCCCATCATTGGTGTCAGTGGGAGGAATAGTGCGACATTGTTGATGTCAGTGGGAGGATTAGTGCCCCATTGCAGGTGTCAGTGAGAGGAATAGTGCCCCATTGTTGGTGTCAGTGGGAGGAAAAGTACCCCATTGTTGGTGTCAGCGGGAGGAATAGTACCCCATTGTTGGTGTCAGTGGGAGGAATAATGCCCCATTGTTGGTGTCAGTGGGAGGAATAGTACCCCTTTGGTATTGTTGGTCGGAGAAATAGTGCCTCATTTTTGGTGTCAGTAGGAGTAATAGTGCCCCATCTTTGGTATCAGTAGGAGGAATAGTGCCCCATCATTGGTATCAGTGGGAGGAATAGTGCCCCATCATTGGTGTCAGTGGGAGGAATAGTGCCCCATCATTTGGTATCAGTGGGAGGAATAGTACCCCAAGGGTCAGATAATGGCAAGCAAAAAGCCACATTCAGCCCATGGGCCGCAGTTTGGAGATGCCTGCGTTAAAGATAAAAAAAGTCCCCATCTTTGGCTTTAGAACCACTTTTACATTTTTGCCAGAGATACCCTTTAAATATAAGAGTTCTAAGCTGTACTTTTACCTTCCAACTTCTCAGGGAGTGTGGGAATAGTGATGTTTGGTTCTAATTTGCCATCAGTCCTTAGTGCATGGAAAGGCAGAAGCTGTCACAAAGTGGTATGTGTGCTCCATCATTCGCCATGATCATACCCAGTGATAGAATCCTACTAGTGTAGGGTTATTACTGCAGCAGGGGTGAAATATTGGGTTACTGACAGCAGTACACATGCCAGGAGAAGGCTTTGTGTCTCCTTCCTAGACGTGGATCAGATACATAATCAGGGTCCACACTGCAATCCCAGCCACAGCACCATCCATCTGCAATCTCCCCAACATCTCCTCCAGATCCCAGCCAGCCCCTAGGCTCTCAGGAGACCCCCTCCTAGCTCACAGACGATAAGAGGATGAGCTCCACTGACTGATCACTACTGCTTTGTCTTCTCCCCTGTGCTCAGGGCACCTGCTATGGATGCTGAGCGTTTGGAGTGTATGTCCTGTGTGCAGCCTGAGCTCTCCCCTGCAGAGGAGGAAGACAGCTGGGAGGGATCTGATGAAACTGTGGGTGATCAAGAGGGAAGAGAGCAACAAGAAGTGTCAGATCCCCAATTTCTACAGACCCCTCAACTGGGGGAAGGTAGGTACACGATGTGTGTGTGTGTGTGTCTGCCTGTCAGTGAGCTGATCATTGCATGCCAAGCTGGATCCAGTCCCCTGATCTTGTCATCTGTCATCCTGATATTCAGCACTGATGACTTGGAGATCAGGCTACAGAAGTGCATGCATGCCAGCTCCCCCACATGAATTTATTATGCCTTTGCTTATACTGTATGTGTTGTAATCTATCAAGCATTTTAAAATACACAGGATCTATGATGATGTGAAGCTTTTCAAGCATTACGTTATATAATATTTACTGGGCAGAGGAATTCTGTGTGACTACCTGTAGATGCAGTCCTTGGAGCAGCACACCATTCTGTAATGTGCCTGCATGGTGAGCACAGCATGGAGGCTGCTCTGGGATTCTAATGAGGCAGGGAGACTGAAGATTGCAGGGCTTTTGTCTGTTTATACTTGATAGGTAATATTTAGCATTTGTTGTTCCTCCAGAGACATACACAAAAGCTTTGTTTATGTCAATAATATACATATATTTACCATTGTAGCCAAATCCTTCATCACAACACACAGATGTCACATTTACTAAATTGTGTATTCATGTGGTGCATGGTAAAAACTGAAATCCCTTAGTTTATAGTTCACTGTGCAGGGCTAGCTGCTCTGATGTGGTCAGAGAGATTAAATACTACAGGATATGGCTTTCTTAAAGTGTATCCAAACCCAATAGAAAAAATTTTATATATTGCAGTTAACCAATCATTAGATGTGGTGGCTGTATTAGTTTTCTTCTTTTTTTACATTTTGCTCCTTTATTTTTACTTGTTAATCCAACCACTAAGTCTTTTATTATTCAGTTTCCTTTACCGGGCCCAACTGTCCATCAAAAGTGGCATTTGGAAGGATGAGACAAGCCGTCTAACACTGACAGGGTGCTTACAATGATCAGCTTTTATTCATTTATGTAAAACCTTTATCCCAAAAGGGAAAAAAAAAACTGTTTGCTATAACTGTTTATAATGTGTTAGATTAAATTCAGCTTTAAATTGCTTGTGAACTCCATCTAAATCTCCTAATCTAAGGCTGGCCATACCTTATACAATTTTCTGTCCAATTTCTGCCCAATTTCCTTTACATTTACCTTCTATGTAGTGCAAGAGCCTGTCTAATTGAATACAATTGAAACTGTTGTTAGGTTTGACCTCCTAATATATGGTTTTTGGTAAATCAACATCTCAACAAAAATTTATAATGTATGGCCAGCCTAACCTTTTTCCCAGACTGACAAGGCTGTTGTCCATGGGTTTCTCTATTGAGCTTCGATTTAGTGAAGACACCCTAAGGCTGGCCATACATGATTAGTTTCTTTTCATCAAGCCAATAGATTCCCCTATCCACACAAATGAGGTAAAGGGAGGAATACACACACACTAGAACTCTGTATTCTGATAGCAGCACCCATGAATCAGTGGCTGCAGTATTCTTCTGCTGTATTCTTTTAGAACAACCCATGAGTCAGTGGCTGCAGATGATTGACTGATTGAAAAATTCCTAACATTTCCCTTTGACAGAATTTGATTCATTTCTGTTGAGAGGAAAGAGGCCACACTGACTGAAATTCAGATGGTTCCTGCTGAATCAGTGTATGGCCAGTTTAAGACATGTTACTGTCCAAATCAACAGGTGAACATTAGGGAAAAAAGCCTAATAGAAGAAAACCGATGCAGCCACTACATTTATAGATTGGTTAGCTGCAATATATTACATATTGCTGCATTAAAAATTCCCAAAAAGAAGGACTTATTACTGCTGCCATATGGATAGCAATGATCTCATTGAGAGGCTCTGCTCCTCTGATATCTGAGCCTCTCCTTCTAGAGGCTACTGAGACCAGCCACAGATATAAGCTAGCAACAGCACCATATGTAGTTAATCTTTGTGGAAGAAACCTTGCATGACATTTTATTTGCAGTCTTTTAGATGACTATATTTACATTTTTAGATAAATGAAGAATCACACACAATAATTTAGCCCGTTTCCTGAACCTGGAATTACTGATATAGTATTTGAGACTGTTACGTGTGTTAAAATAATGTACTATTTTCTTGGTATAGTAAAAAGTATGAGCGCTGTCATCACTATATTTGTGACACTGTGATTGATGTCTTCAGTCTATATGCGACACTGTGATCACAGTCTTCACTCTGTAGGTGACACTGTGATCGCTGTTTTCATTCTACAGTGAAGGAAATAAATATTTGATCCCCTGCTGAATTTGAATGTTTGCCCACTGACAAAGAAATGATCAGTCTAAAAATAGAAATGGTAGGTGTATTGTATCACTGAGAGACAGAATAGCAAAAACAAATTCAAAAGAAATGCGTGTCTAACAAATTATGCACTGATTTGCATGTTCATGAGGGAAATAAGTATTTGGTCCCCCATCATTCAGCAGGATTTCTGGCTACCAGGTGTCTTTCATACAGCTAACAAGCAGTATCTTAAAGGGAGTGCTGCTAATCTCATTTTGTTACCTGTATAAAAGACACCTGTCCACAGGAGCAATCAAACAATCAGATCCAAACTCTCCACCATGGCAAAGACCAAAGAGCTGTGCAAGGATGTCAGGGACAAGATTGTAGACCTACACAAGGCTGGACTGGGCTACCAAATCATAGAACATGTCCAGGCCCATCTGAAGTTTGCCACTGAACATCTGCATGATGCAGAGGAGGACTGGTTTACAGTGTTGTGGTCAGATGAGACCAAAATAAAGCTCTTTGGCATCAACTCAACTAGCCGTGTTTGGAGGAGGAGGAAAGCTGCCTATGACCCCAAGAACACCATCCCAACTGTGGATATATTCTGCTTTGGGGGTGTTTTTCTGCTAAGGGGACAGGACAACTGCACCACATCAAAGGGACGATGGACGAGGCAATGTACCGTCAAATCTTGGGTGAGAACCTTCTTCCCTCAGTCAGGGCATTGAAAATGGGTCGTGGATGGGTGTTCCAGCATGACAATAACCCAAAACACATGGCCAAGGCAACAAAGGTGTGGCTCAAGAAGAAGCACATTAAGGTCCTGGAGTGGCCTAGCCAGTCTCCAGACCTTAATCCGATTGAAAATCTGTGGAGGGAGCGGAAAGTTTGAGTTGACAAACATCAGCCACCAAACCTTAATGACTTGAAGAGGATCTGCCAAGAGGAGTGGGCCAAAAGCCCTCCTGTGATGTGTGCAAACCTGATGGCCAACTACAGGAAACGTCTGACCTCTGTGATTGCCAACAAGGTATTTGCCACCAAGTACTAAGTCATGTTTTGTGATGGGGATCAAATACTTATTTCCCTCATGAACATGTAAATAAGTGCATAATTTGTTATTTATTGTTAATTTGTTGCTATTCTGTCTCTCAGTGTTAAAATACACCTACCATTCGATTTTTAGACTGATCATTTCTTTGTGAGTGGGCAACCATTCAAAATCAGCAGTAGATCAAATACTTATTTCCTTCACTATATATGTGGCACTGTGATCTTTGATTTCACTCTATATGTGGCACTGTGGGGTTGATATACTAAAATAGAAGAGTGCAAAAGCTAGTTCAGCTGTACATCTTAGCCAATCAGCTTCTAACTTTAGCTTGTTCAGTTAAGCTTTGACATTAAAACCTGGAAGCCGATTGGTTTCTATGGAAAAGCTGCACCAGACTTTGCACTCTCCAGTTTTAGTAAATCAACCCCTGTGGGCGCTGTCTTCACTCTATATGTGATTGTTGTCTTTGGTTTTTGTGTGACACTGTGATTGCTGGCTTCAGTCTATGTGTGACACTAGGAGCACCCTCTTGAATCGACAAGTAACCTTAACTTGGCTTAGTGCCAGAGATTATCCTCTCCTCTTGAGGTTTGACTGGAATCGTTCATACACAAACTATCGAGCTAGTTTAATCAAGTAGTAATTTTTACCTTTGTTCATGTTTAACTTCAATTAATCAGGTTTAGAGGAATTCCAAGAGAGAGTTTTTTCCTTCAATCAGCTATACATTCAGATCCTATGTTTAATAGTACAGATTCAACATCTGTTAGAGATTCTGTTAGAGATTCTGTATATAGCCCTACAGAACAGACAGCGCAAAGTCCACATGTGTCTATCTACTGCATCTCTGCTAACAAGAAACAGGAACTTTATTATAGAAAAAAGACTGTTTCAGTTCACTAAGGGATGTCATCTCTTCATTGGCAGCTCTGGTCCACTTTTGTTTATCATGGGTTGGAAGTCTTTGCATCTCATCCCATGAATCTGGCTCTGGTTTTATTGCTACGAGAGCAACATAGGACAGATGTTTGGCTGGGATGCCTTTATTGCTTCTGGTGGATTTTTTGATCGAAGACTCTTATGATTTCTTCTTTTACAGTATTTGGATTGTCTGCATTAATTTCTATTTCTGTGTCACTTTGCTGCTTATCTTCATGTGACACTGATGTGGAATTTCCCTCGGTTTGAAGCATTTGTGTTCATGAAATTTTGAACATACTGAAGTTTCTTTGACAATTACACTTTTACTGATGGTTGCCTTGTTGGTGTATTGGTCTAGAATTCTGTATCCCTTTTGAGATTCACTGTACCCTATAAATACACATTTCTTTGTGTAAGCATCCAAGTTTTTGCTTTTTTTTTTTTTTAAGATGTGCACATAGACTTTGCTTACAGAAATTTTCTAGATGGTTTAAAGCTTTTCCATTCCACAGTTCATATGCAGTTTTCTCAGCTGATTTTCTTGGCAATTTTGAAGATGGCATGCAGTCATAATTGCCTTCCCCTAGTATGTGGATTGCATATCTGCATTAAACAGCACGGTTCTTCCACTCTTGCAAAGAGTACGGTTCATTCTTTCTGCAACCCCATTTTGTTCTGGGTTGTAGGGTACAGAAGTAATATGCCATGCTTTCTGATAATCCTCTGTGTCTTATCACCTGTATTTTCTGTTCAATTGTCTGTGCACAATACACTTAGCATTT